ATTTCCATACAAAAAGGCTGGTTGGTTTAAATTCTATTTCTCGATCAATTTTTCACCAATCGAAATTTTGAACCGTAACTTCTGTTGGTCTTGACCAGTTCTATCGTTATTACGGCTTATTTTCCTAAAAAATATCAATACAAAGTTGGAATAGCTGTCGAAAGACAAGGCATTTTTTTGTAGTCTTTAGTTGAAATGCACCATATTGAGCATTATTGTCAATACAATATATTGCAATTATTTATTGTTTGACTTGCCCAGAACAATACAATATTGATAAGGCCTGATGGTAGCCGATTGCCATCGCGGCAATTCCGCTAGATGACATGTCATCACAAAGGCACCAATCACTATATATGAGACAACAGGCCCTTCTTTGAATTTGAAGCTTCGAGCTACTTCGCTTGTTGTACTAGGAACTAGTAAGTCCAAACAATGCACAATTGAGAAACCCCGATTAGCACAGTACCCCCTTGAACAATCGTAAACTACTTGGGCTTAGACGAACCACGACATCAGTCTTGACCAGAGGGAGGGTGGGGCCAGTGGGGGCGGTCGAGTGCGAGGCGCGCCCATAGCTTCCTCGAGGGCCAAGTTGGCTTTGATGGACTGCGCCACCGAGTACCCCATCGCGAACGTCGTGATCATGGGGCTATGTATTGTCATAGTAAACCCCCCATCAATTCACACAGAGCAAGCAATGCTTGTTCTGGAGCAGCTAGTATATATCTTACTTGACACCAGACGCCGTGGGAAACACGGACGAGTCGGCCACGTAAAGCCCCTGCACGTCCCACGTCTCCCCGTCGGAGTTGACGGCGCCCTTGGCCGGCGTCGCCGCCATGCGGCAGCTCGACATCTGATGGGCGCTGAAGATGCCGAGGCTGTTGACGGGAATGCCCGTGGCCCGAAGCTGCCGAAACCATGCCTGCGAGGTCTCGCATTCGACGGGGTTCGCGCGGTCCTCGGGGGTATCCAGGCGCAGCGCTGGCACGCTCAAGTGCGAAGTGTTGACTTCGATCGCGCCCTGGCTCAGTAGGATCTTGGCCGACGCAATCATGCCTTCCACCATCGATTTCGCGTCCTTTGGGCCGAGTTCAAAGTGCACGCGCGGCCGGCCTATTGCAAAGAACCATGAGAACTGTCCTTGTATGTCGATATGAAGAACACATTATGTTGTATAACAAGGTTCATGCTGCAGCCTATGACGTGGAATATGAACTTGGGGGGGCTACAACGTGGAGAGTATGCATGCAGTGCTAGCTACTGTACCTTACCTGTAGCATCGATTTTGACTTGGATGGGTGAATCGCAGTCTCGGACAATCGTCACAACCCCAGAAAGGTGGGGTACTTGCAACAACAGCCGCGTAAAATCTAAATTTCCGCGCCACGGCAACAACGACGACGTCGCACCAAGCAGCGACGTCGGAGTTTCCAATCGAGCGCCGTACCTACGATCAAATGAACGTCTTAGGAGGTGCCACGTCATCACCTGGTTGTTGTGGACATTGTACCCGTTGCCATGGACGTTGCTCACAACGTCTGTGACACTGGTCATGATCGACCCTTCCCACGACTTGACGACTTTAGTCGGCAGGAACCCATATATGGTCGTGACGGGATGGAGGCGCATGTTGCGCCCAATGTTGGGGTTCTGGAGGCCCGACCGCAGGAGCAGCGCCGGCGAGTAGACACCGCCGCACGCACTTACAACCGTCTTGGCGCGCACGACGATCGACACCTTTCCGTCCAGCACCGTGCCCTTCACGCCCGTCGCGACGTTGGCGGTATAAGTGACCTTGTCCACTTTGCACCCTGCGATGAACTTGGCGCCCGCCGCCGCAGCGTCTTGCAACCACGTCACATGGGACCCCTGCTTTTCTCCGTAGGGGCACCCGAGCGAGCAAAACCCACAAGAGTGGGTGTGGCCATTCGTGTTTTGAGGAATCGCATGCACTGGAAAGTTTAATTTGGCACATCCGTCCAACAGCACTTGATTGGGGACGCTGTGCTTGATGTGGTCCGTGGATACCCCTATGTGACGACGTCAGTTGTACCGAAGTAATCGACCACCACAACGTAATAAAATTAAAATCAAATGAAAACTAGAATATGGGTAATAAAATAAACCTAAACAAGTTTAATGTATGTCTTGTCGATTTGATACAAATTTGGGAAGGGGGTGCAATCGAATTTCGCGCCGACCAAACCGATCCACAATCGATCTGATTAGTTGAATTTCATTGAGAAATGGGTTTTGATTGGCTAATAATGTTGAAATCATCTGAAGTAGCCAATCAAATCGATTTAAATTCCAACGAGAAACCACACCACAACACAATGAAATTTCACTCGAAAGCACAATATTTTAATCAACTTTTTTTAAAAGTACTTTTAAAACAAAGATCTTTACGTACCTGCGCGTTTGCACACAATGTCCAGAGCTTCTTGGAATGCGGCCGTGCCAAAGTACGGCAACTCGTGCTTATGAACCCATTCATCGAGCACTTCTGGCGGAGGTCGTAGTGACGCCGACCTGATATGCATAAACATCCACAGTTACGACAGTGCCAAGGGATAGATATATTGATATGGTGTGGTTTCATGGGGGACGGTAGGTAGGTAGGTACATACCAATTCACGGCTGTTCCACCCCCCCACGTCTTTCCCGCTAGCATTTGCATGGACCCGTCCTCGGACACGAGGAACACCGAGTCGGCGTACTGCTTTTCGTACTCTTCCATTTCGCCAAACGTCGAGTCGGCCGGGTGATGGAACTTACCTTGCTCCAACACCAGCACTCGGTGCCCTGCCTGGGCCAATTCCGCCGCTAATACAAACCACAAGGTGGTGACGTGGCGACATCTCAGACAAGGACGTACCGACGACACCTCCGCCGGCCCCCGAGCCCACCACGACCACGTCCGTTTCCAGTTCAATCGCCCCCCCGTTCGCTAGCTCGGCCAATGCGTCCACACTGCAAACAGTTAACAGTACTATGCGCGAGATGACTTAATTCTTACTCTTCAAACGACGGCTCGTGGAAATGGGAGCGAGGTGGTCGAGGTTTCTCCGATGGAATACCGGTGTATTGCAACGGCTCCCAGTACGGATTCGTGTCGCCCGTGTCCGCCGTAACCTGCTGAGCAAACGTACACAGGTGCGACAACGCCTTGAGCGCGCGAAACAGCGATCGAAGCAAGGCAAAGCGCGACTGCGACAGGTTCAAGAGCGCATGTTCCCGGTCGGCGAGAGAGAGGTCGTGGAACGGTACGAAGCGCGTCGACCCTGTCAGGAGGTACGTGCCCCATCCCGTGGCCAACAGATCCAACACCTGCAAGAATTCATTCCTTTTGTCCGCGGGAAAGAACGCGAGTTTGGACGCGATGGTGTCGACGACTCCAAGGTCCGGCGGTGGCATCTGGGCAAACGCTTCCAGGGCTTTGGTGCGCGCCACTGAGTTGTCTTGGACATCCTTTAGATGCTCCGCCACGACGCCTGTCGCGTCTTCCTCGGAAAGCGGCGCCACAAATGCAGATACGATCGCCGCCAAGGTCGTCTTTTGCTGGTCAGAGAGCAGCGTCATGTTTGTAGTTCAAATACTTCGAAGTAACGGTTTATGGAAAATGAGTGACGATTTTGGGTCACTTCTGTGTGCACGTAGTACGAGGAATTCCTCGGTTCTAGGCGGAAATCTTGAGTCACGGATAATCGTCCGGATAACTAAGTTCTTTGCACAGATAAGACGCCGGTACAGGAGACCCGTAGCCCTCGAACCTGGAACTCCGTCCTAACCCTAGTGGTACATACGTATACGTGCATTTAATGCTATATTCGGAGTGAAGTTGCATCCTAGTGTGGTTAGCTATCGCTAACCACTGAAACGCCGAAATGTGTTATGTGTTGTGCTTGCAAGTGCTGTGTTCCTCTATACTTATCTGTGCAACAACCAAGATAATTATCCGTAAATTCGATAATCCCCAATAATCGACCTCCAGCAGATAAAATTCCACTGTGTGAAACAGATAGAGCCAGATCACCATCTGTTGTATCGTTTTGTATTGGGGTCACAACGGTAATCACTTTGATTGGTTAGCTCGTACTTGGGCGGATTACGTATGTACACATCCGATCCAAGTAATTTAACAATCTTCGTGTTCATTTCCCAAATACTAGCATTCCGCTTGAGGCAAATATTTCCGGACAGAGGTAGTGCAATAAACATGGAGTACAGTAGTACTATAAATAGAACGTTAGCACACGATTCCCTGTCAATGAAAACTACAGTACGGATACCATTTACCGGTAATACTAATCCAATTTTGAGTGGATTTGATTTAACTGCTACAGAAAGGACAAACACATTCAACCAATCAGAACTCTAGCATGAATCGATAACGTTATTGATTAACAAACCATGCGAATGTTGGCATTCACAATATTACTGTGCCCTTTGTGAATCTTCTACTCTGCTGGGAAGCAATCAATGATGTATTTGACAAAGGACAGCTTGGGCTAATATGCTTAACGTTACCGGTACCTGTATCGAGCCTAAAAATCAGTAGGTAGTAGAGTCGTTGTGCCGTGTATGCCGGCCACGACATCCAACTGGTTTTCGGGAATCTTCCCGTCAACACAAAATAACCTCCTAGTCATTATTAATATACCGTATACGTATAGAGTTAACAGCAACGAATACTATCCGGAACATCGTAACAATGGATCGATTCTTGCTTTATCGTTGAATATTGCAGACCAATTTGCCAATTTTGGGCGATTGTTGAAATCGCCAACAAATCGATCAAAGCAGCATGATTGGCAAACTGCAAAAAATGAAGGGTGCATTAAGGAGATTTCGCAATCGTCGGATATTACTTTTGCGCTCAGCTCACACAACAAGAGCGGCAGCAGCAAGGACAGGTATCTTATAATTTCACAACGTTAACACTCGATGCATCCGAATGTGTGTACACCACGACGCCTAAAGGCCACCTCTCAGACGACCTGGGTACCATCCATCTCGCACTCGGTGATGAGACTATTATCAGTGAACATTCTACGTCAAAAAGTTACAGCTGTGATGTGATTGCCACGGAGAACTCATGTTTGAACAAGTTGCTATTGCTTATCCAAGTTAAATAAAAAGGGCTGCTACTTCTTCTTGGCTTTGAGGGCCGACTCTGCCGACTGAATCTTGAGCAGCAGCCACTCCTTCTCGATTTTCTTGTGTTCGCTGGACAAGTCATCGTGTTGTTCTACAGTCAAAACCAAATATTTGAGCACAATTTAGAGAGATTTTGCAACACCCGACATAAAGTTATTAATTACCTTGCAGCAGCGCCAGCTTCATCTTGGTTTGCACCAATTCCGTCTGAAAGTACTCGTTCTCTTTCTTCAACTGGTCGATGCCACCGTCCACCGATGTCGACGCCGACAGTTGCTTCTCCAAGGCGACAACCTTTGCCTCCAAGTCTCGGTTTACAACTTTGAGCGATTCCAACTCGAGCTCGCATGACGTCAGCTATACACGAATAACGACCCCATCAATACTTTTATATCGATATCGTTCAAGTTCACAACATAGTGTCACGTACTTGGTCCTTGGCCAACTTGACCTCTTCTTCGACTTGCTTCACATCACTTCCTTCTTCTTCACCGCCGCCACCGTCTCCTTTGGCTTTCTCGTCGGCTTGTTGCGCTTTTAGCTGGTTCAACTCCCATGTGCATTTCGCCAGCTAACCAATAGACTTCACGTCAAAACAGCAATGTCTACGAGATGATTGCATCGAGGATAGATACCTCGTCCTTGGCGGCCATCCATTCGTCGTTGCGTTGCTGCAATAGTTGCTCCATTTCGTCATTCGTGGCATCCACTTGCTGGTCAATTCTGTGCTTGAGCTTTTGAATCTCCAATTGACTTTCGTCCAGCTACAGTACACCACAAATATAGTTACATCGCTCACACATCAGGATTGTATTACGCTGAAGTCCATCCACATAAATCTAATAACTTACCTGGGTTTGCAATCCACAGCACACTTGAGTCTTTTCATCCAAGAGCACTTGCAACTCGGACTCGTGTTGGTCCTGGCTACTGTACTGTCGCTGCCAATCGACCATTTCCGCGGCCTTCTCCGACAGCTACCCCCCCTTGTCAGCCCCATACACCCAAATCACACTTGCTCTATGTCAACTTCACCTCATATTGCATATGCTGCAGATCATGCTTGAGCTCTTGAATTTGAGCCCGCAACGCACTTGTGTCAGAATGTTCACACGACGACTTTGATTGCAGTGCCTTCACCTACGTATATATAATATATACATGTGAACAAATATGCATCATATCATAAATCTCCAGACAATATCGAATACTCGACCTCGGCCTGTAGCTGTTGGTTTTCGTCGATCGTTGCCGCCATGTCCGACTTGAGAGACGTGAGCTCGGCCGTGTGCAGCGCGTGGGCCTCTTCGATGCGCGCCACGATCACCTCTTCGTTGACCACCTTGAGCGCTGCTAATGCTTCGAGATGGCGTTGCTTCTCTGACGACTCGACCGCCACCTGCATGTACTCCCCCAAACATGAGCAAGTAAGTGGCTGACCAACGCGTTCGAAACGACGTACCGATTTCTCCAATGCGTATTTTTCGCCCATCCACTGGTCTTTTTCTTGTTTCAGACAATCGATCTGCGCTTGCAGGACAAGCAACCGATGTCCCTCCGCTTCCAACTGCGCTTCCGCTTGGTTGAGCTGCTGGACACTGTCTCGTTGCATGCGCGCATGCATGTCCAGCGCCCGATGCAATTCGCCGGTCTTTTCCGCGAGCTAGAATAGTAGCATACACAGAGCATTGTGAAACTGGTGTACGAAAGTACTTAAAATGTAGTATTCACTGCCATTCCTATGCACATGTAGCTAGCACGCTATACAATGGAGGAGCGATGCCAACATACCTCGTTCTGGACTCGATCGTGTTCGTCCTTGAGTTGGCGCACTTGTTGCTTTAGGTACCCCACTTCTGCATCGAACACCGTGGACGCTTGTCGTTTTGAGAGCAAGTCGTCGTCATTAGGTCTTGTCGCGCTCGAACTTGAACTCAGGACATTCCGCACGACTTCGATTTCTGCCGATGGCGGAGGAACTGCCTCGGTGGTCTTGGCTAGCTGGGCTTCAAGCTCCCGAATGCGTTGGGCTTGGGCTTGTGAGACTGCCGACAGTTGCTCTTGTTGGGCCTGGTCGAAGATGGAAGTCTACGCCAAGTGCTCCAGTAAGTCATGTGCCAAGTCTTTTCATCACTGTACCGCGCTCGTGGATCGGCTGCGTTTGAGCTCGGCCACGCGCTTGCACAGCTAAACAATCGCAGTGTGTTTGTGCCAATTGCTCTGAAATTACCGTAGCAACAAGAGATGTGTGTGTATGATGTACCTCCGTCTCGACCTTGCTCTTGGCGTCGCGAAGTTGACTGTTCTTGGTCTGCAAAATCGACACTTCTTCCTGGAGCTCAGCCACGGTTCGCTGCAGCATTTCCACGAGCGCGTCCGCTTCTCCGCTCGTGTTATCTTGGTGGTCGACTGAGATAGTTGCAGCAGAAGTTCGTTGCATTTGGAGCCGCACAATCTCTTCGTGGGCCTTGGCCAATTCCGTGGCTTTCAGTGACAACGAGTGGTTGCAGTGCGCGTGAAGTTCCAGCACCTGCTGCAGCTCGGAGCTTCGTTCAAACAGCTATGTTGTTGCATACACTGTAAGCCATCGTTGGTGATCATATCAATTATTGTAAAGGTACTCACTTGGTTCTCCAACGATTCGACATCGCACTGCATTCTCGTCGCCTTTTCTTCAAGCGCTTTCTTGTCTTGTTGGAGGCGCAGCAGCTCGGCTGCGACAGTGTTGGACGCAGCCACGGGTGTGTACGTCAAGTCCGCATCTACCGGCTTGGCTAGAGCCTGCGGTCCGACGCCTTCGCTCCAAGATGACACGTGGCGAAGCGCAACGATAGGCGCTGACTCCGCGGCGGTTCGAATGTACTCCTGCACTTTTCCCTTGAGCTCTTCGTTCACACTCGTGAGGTGTCGAATCCGCTCCAGCTGCACCACGTTCACTCGCGAACTGCTCTCCATGGCCGCTTGCAGCTCGGTCCGCCGCAGCACCACTTCTTTCTCCGCCTTGGCCTTTTTCTCTTTCACAGACACGAGTTCATCTTGCACGGCGGCGTGGGCAACCGCTAGGGCGTCGTACTTGGCTCGATAGCCAACGTCTTCGTCGCTGACTGATGGTGGTTTTGCAGCTTGAGATAGCTGCAGAAGCGCAGCATCCAACTTGGCTTGCAGGTCTTTGTTGGCGCGGTCGTACTTGATGATCTGAGCGGCAAAACTCACACTCGATGGCGGGGCTTGGACATCGTCGTCGTGATGATTGGGCGTGGCTGACGACGCCTCGGACTCGTCCTACAGTACCCATAAGTGTTGTTTTGAGTGCCCTATCCATGAAAAGTGATATGTTGTCGTACCACGGGAGAATTGCTCGTTAATTCGTCGTCGTGGCCTGGCTCATGACAAGTCGATTGGAATGTCATCCGCCGGGACGACACGATATGACTTGGCAGTCGCTTGGGCGGGCTTTCGGCCACGCTGCTCCGTTCGCACTCGGAAGTATCGCCTTGGTCGTGCTATCGTCATCATCCATGTCATATGACGTTACTATCACTTTGTTGTTGGACGTTTGGAGGTATGTAATGTACCTGTGTTCGAGACGCAGTCGTCGACGAAGCTGTCACTGGTCTACACGTATCATTCACCAAACCACACGCCGATATATGTGGAAAGGTCATGATGACAATAACAACAATAGCAGCAATATACCTGTCTGTATCCAACGCCGTTGCGAGCGACATCTACACAAGCGCACGCGAGTGACACTTCTGTGAAAAGCTCTACTGGGTTGGTGTGTACCATGAGCGATCCGTTGCCCCACGCTTTCTTTGGCTGCACCACCAAACTGTACGAGTTGCTTCCGTGGTTCTTCTCGGACGTGTATTGCGCAAGGTCGACTTCGAACGTACACAGCACAGCGTCGCCCTTGGATTTGACCACGTCCACCGTGAACGATTTCGCCTGGAACGTGGCTTGCTTGGTGCGGTACATGGTGCAGTGGAAGCTCAGCGTTTCCTCCGTCCAGTGAACCTGGCGACTCGAAAGGATCGGTGCCGGCGTTCCCTTTACCTTGTGGCTGCCCCGAGTGACCACGGGGTACACCATCTCGAGCTCCTTGGCGTCAGGGTCGCTGCTCGTGAGCTTGTGCAGCACAATCTGGACATTGAAGCCCACGCCTGTCTTGCCCGCATGGGTCGCGGCTCGAAGAAACCTCGACATGGCCGATTGACTTTTGCCAATGGGGTAGTTAGTCGTAGCAGTTGTGGTTGTCCTGGATATCAACTATCTCGGCGGTGAGTTGCGGTCCAGGTGGGGGGTGACACATGAAAACCGGTCTAAAAATAGATTTTGTCGGAGCCGTTTCAAAAGCACCTTTGCACACCTCCAGCCATCCTGAATGGCTCTGTCAACGGCAAAACAACCTCACTCAACTCATACTGTAGATACCTGCAATGTCGAACAAGAGTCCACTTCACAGGTAAATAAATCTAGCGAAGGAGGACAAGGCGGGGTTGGCTGCAGTCTCTTGATGGTTTCCACCTCCTGGAGTTATTTCTGCATTGCAAGTGTTGTCATACTATGTGACCAGTCACAGCTCACTTGTCCCCATCATAGACATAAATTGACATCTATCGCCACAGCGGCGTGCCAAATACATACATAGACAACCCAACGTTGTGAAAATGGAATGAACTTGCGCCGTGTTACTGTACAGTAAGTATCCCTACGTGAAGCTGGATCGACCACCACTGTCCACAGGACAATCACAATGGTGCAGTAGCACTGCTGGATAGTACACCACAAGAGTTGTAGGACTTGATTGAAAATACACATGGGGGTTTAATATCACTTCAAGGCTGCTACAGCTTAACTAGGCTGGTCACTGGGCGTACGCGTGCACTGTGCCGTTCGCCATGGTCAACGTGCCCTTTCCATTCAACGACACGTGATTAGCCGTCCACTCGCCTTGGAACACGTGGCCATTTGCAAACACACACACGCCCCATCCACTTCGAGCCTACCCATATATATATTATATATATATCATGCCTAGTTTGGCCAAGATAAGACTTCGGCCGACGCACCCCATCCATCCATTCGCCGCTGTACACGTCCCCATTCGTGTATTTACACACGCCATGACCATGGGGCTTGCCACCGACACACTCCCCATTGTACGAACTGCCGCTCGCAAACTGAATATGCCAGTCGCCATCCACCGGCAAGTCGCCGCGCCACGCCCCGTCCTTCGTCGTGCCTTTGGCGTCCATGTGGCAGCCATATCCTAGAACCATCTTCTCAATCATCTCATGACTTTTTAAAGTGCACTTTACCTTGGCGAACATTGTTGGCCCATTGACCGACGTAGCGCTCGCCGTTTCTAAATACCATCGTGCCTTCTCCATGCCGTTGATTGGCCTTCCATTCGCCAGTATACACGTCCCCGTTTGCATACGTACAAGTACCTACATATTCATGTACACTCAAAATAGGCACCGAATATGGATTCAAATATAATATAAACTAGTATATACGCCAGACAGAGGATATATATGTGTAGTGTCCACTAGGTTTTCCATACCTACACCGCATCGTTCTCCGTGGACAAACTCGCCGTGATAGACGTGGTTGTCGGCGGTACTTAGCTTGCCCATCCCTTGCTTGATACCATGGACAAACTCGCCTTCAAACACACTTCCGTCAGCGGCTGTGTACATTCCCATGCCGTGAAATCGGTTCTCTTCCCAATCGCCTAATTCATGAAACTTATTATTGGTCTAAATATACTGGGAATATACAAGGACACTATACTACTACAGTAGTTAGTACCCGTGTACGTTTCAGCTCCTCGAATCACACACGTGCCTTTGCCTGTCCGGGTATCTCGACACCAGTCGCCGTCATAAATGAAGTCGCTGCTACCACTTGTGAGGATGCCTATAAATACATTGTTTAAATATATTTATATATTTTTTCACTCAAAAATAATGACCATAGTAGCAAAACAAGACAAAGTTAGTTCAACGATAAAATCAAACTATTTGGTACAATATATATATATTTACTCATAGCAGAGTATTCGTTTTCTTCGATACATTGGAGTAGAACCAACAACTACCTTGGCCGTGCCGTTGGTCCATGTCCCATTCACCGTCATACACATGTCGAGAGAGTTTACTCGTGTATTTGCCGACCCCGTGACGGCAGCCCTTTCGAAACGTGCCGGAATATACATCTCCATTCGCATATACAAACACATGCACCCCATCCTCCGTCGGCGGCACGAGGTCTGCTTGACCGTCTATAGTAGTTTTATCCTCCAAGGATACATCCACATAGGGCGAGATAGACTGCTCTTTCCACGGCTGGCTGTTGCGCCACTCGCCTTCAAACGTCCGTCCTTGATAATCACAGAAAATACCAAGCCCTTCGCGAAGTCCATCGACCCACGCTCCCGTGTACACTGACCCGTTTTCATATCGGCATATGCCTTCAAATAAACATGAAATGACGGAATTACTCGGACGTTCACGTGTATGTGTATGTACCTTGCCCCCACGGTCGTCCCGACTGAGTGGTGCCGATAAACTTGTCGTTGTTGGGGTATAAGATGACCCATTCGGCATGCTTGCCTTCGACGGGTTGATGGCATTTCCATGTGCCTTCCTTGGTTTCCCCCGACACGCTCGAGTAGGACCGTCCGTGGCCGTCTTGCATGTCGCCCTTCCACTCGCCTACGCCCACAGGATTTTGCATGTTTCACCGTCAACAATATACAAATCACCCTCCATTGTTATCATCGTAGTCCTTCTTGTGTATATAGGAAGGTAGTACTTGAAGTATTGTAAATTTGCTATATAAACTTTTAAAATTCGCTATATTAACTTTTAAATTCGTGTGGTTTGTTGAATCAATATTGGATCACGCTGGAGTTCGGATTGGTTGAATATTGTACTGTGTCCTTTCAGCCAATCCAATCCACTCAAAACTGGATTAGCCAATAGTAGCGTCGATGATTCGTGATTCGATTCGGCGGCGAGATACATTCGATTCGACGGGGTCGGGAAATTTGTACCGAATCCACAATATTATTCAATACTTTTTTCATACCGGAATACGAAGACCCGCCAGCTGTGGTCAATGTGCCTTGGCCGTGGCGCTTGCCAGAAATAAAATCGCCGACGTACACATCAGCATTTCCATATTCGAGCGTCCCGAACCCGTGGAACTCGCCACGGCACCATTCCCCGCGATATCGCTTCCATTCTACGAATTCCTTCATCGTGAAATGTGGTTATATATATATATATAAATTATGAACACATGCTACAATTATATATATATCACATGCTACAAATTTCGCAATTCTGCGCGATTCGTAAAACCAGTCCTACCTCGCGCGTCGTAAAATTGCATTGGCAAGTAAAAAAAGAACGTAGCCAAAAAGAATTTATTTTTGAGATTATCATTTTTCAAATATATTTATTAAATAGTATTTATAATCAATTTAATATCGTTTTAATTTTATTAAAAAATATTCTCCTTCATAATAAAAATCAGCGACAAGGAATTTTCAGATTGACCAATGGGATCAGTTTGGTGATTCGATTGTTTGATTATTCGTCCCAAATCCACAAGGTATATACTTTGTATATATATATGTATACCAGAGTGCGTTCGAAACGTGCACTTGCCCATGCCGTGGAAGTGTCCATGACTGAATTCGCCTTCATAGTCCCATTGAGGTTGGATTAACTTTCCTTGGCCGTGATACACGTTATGGCGCCACTGGCCTGTATATGTTTCGTGTACGCTGGAGAACTCGCCGTGCCCGCACTTTTCATTCCGTACCCACGCGCCACAGTACATTCCTTGCATCGACCTGTCTGTATATGTCAGAATGACATTTTTCACATGGATATTCCTTGTGAGAATGACATACTATTGTTTTGTGTTTACTCTTAACCTGGACCGACGTCGAGACACAACCAAATGTATATCACAGAAGGATATAGCCAATCAGATTGCAGGAATCCACATCAACGTCAAATTAGTGTATGTGACTCCCCACAGCAGAAGGTCGCAATATGTGCATGGGGTATTGCTGCTTGTCATATGTAGCAATTACCTCAAAGTCCCGACGCCATGCCGAAGGTCATGTGCCCAGTGTCCGTCGTACGAGAAGCTCGTGTTCGCCACAACATATGTGCCTTGTCCATGTCTTTTTCGGTCGACAAACTCGCCTTCGTACGTGTCGCCGTTCGGATACGTATACGACCTTTTTCCGGATGATGGTGGTGGCGGCAGTGGTGGTGGTAGTGTTGTGTGGTCGTGCAACCGATGGCTTTTCCGCCACTGGTTGTAGTTGAAAGTGCCGTACCAGAGCTGTAGCCACGCGGGGTTGTGCTCAGCGGACACTTGCGATTCGATCTGCGACGACGTTAACAAGTTCCAGAATGACGATCGCATCGGTCGACAAGGCTCCACTGCCACATCCATCAGCAATTGCTCCAAGTACACCTGCACCTGTTGGCGAATCCACCCTTCCGACCCAACCCAGTCGATCCGGCTCTCGTCTGTACATATTTACAGGGGCAACGAAGTGAGCTAAACAAAGTGACCGTACTTGTGGTACCATGGAGCAACGCGGTGTTGGCAGCAAGTATGCGATTGAAGAAGTCTCGTGTTTGAGAACCCAACGTAGCTGCGGCGGTGGCCCGAGAACTAGAGTGAAAGACTACTTGGTGGACATCCAAATCGACGACGGCGTCTACGACAGGAGCAGCAGCAGTACTCGCTTGATTGAACTTCAGACACATGGGGTCGCACGTCCCCGCAATAAACCCGCCCGTGTCCTCTGGTTGATGAAACAGGATGGCGGCATATGTCGATATTAAGTACGGCTATCCATATAAATGAGGCGAAAGCGTCGTACTACTATGATGGGAAAATAATTGTATACATTCCATTTTTCGACTATCTAAATAATAATTTTAAAAAATATATCTAAAAAGTGTAAACATATATAGTAGTAGTAGTACTACTACTTTGATTGTTTATCAAGAAATAGAAACTTTTTAAATTCTAATTTAAAAAAAGTTCAAGTCAAGATATGAATCTGAGAGATAGTGTAATAACCTAAAAATGGAGGTACCGTATAGTGTATATGCATTGCGACGGATTAATCTATTGCGACTCCTGTAATAACTGGCAATTTTCTTGTAATAACTGATATTTACATGTGAACATGTAGAATATACTTCAAATTTGTATGACGTAATGGATTAACAAAATTTTGAGAACGAATGTCGGCTGCTTGTGAAATATCACATGTCGCAATACATATACACTATACGGTAGGTATGTCGAATTTATAGTTTTTATCGTGGATTTGAGATAAAAGCCAAATTTGGTACTTCACCTCTGAAAACTACAACAACGTACCCAAAGGCCGAGTGTGGATGCCACAGACAATATTCTGACAGAGAGTTTCTTCCCTTTTTCAAATGGGAATAGTTGATATGTATAATATGAAAACTATTGCAGCAATAACATGTAGATAAACATTCGACAATTGACCCTTGTTTCTGTCAGAAAACAGTACAAATTCGACGTATTCTGTCCATTTATATTTGTCAGATTTGGTAGTCAACAATATACAATCTCACAAAAGCACTGTGTCGTTTGAAAAATTGTCCTAATATTTCGGAAAAATTGCAAAACGAGGTGTTTTCGGACATATTATTGTGGCAGCCACAGTAGCTCTACAGAATAATATCTCCACATTATTACCTCGATTCGAAACGAACTGGATGGGTGAACGATGGCTAAGGGAAGGCCGTACTTGGCCCAGCGATACCGATGGACATGTGGACGACTTGGCGTGGCGTGGAAGTCGCCAGCGCCGCCAGGTAAGAAGGAAAGAAATGCCAAAACAGAGCTCGACACGACCTCTGGCGACGAAGAGTAGAACACGATGCGCCCTTCCGCCAAAAGCAAGCGCAAGAGGCCAGCCAAATGCACGTCCGTGGCACGAACGAGGGCTGGCAACGGCAACCCGACATGCAATTGCGGCCACGACAACGCTTCAAAGTCCACGGAGCTGAGCGCATCATGCAGTTCCACCACCAGTCCAACGTCGCCAAATGAACTCTAAGGGTCGCACATCGTTAGTGCAACGTGGTGGCAGTGGTCGTGATCACGGTACCTGAGCAAAGAACTGGTTCGCCATGGCTTCGAGCTTAGCCTTGACGTACGCTTGATATGGGGTCTTGGACACGACGACGACGGACTTTTGAATGGCCCCGCGACTGAACTTGGCCAACGTGTCGTCGTCCAGACCATGTACGGCGTGGGGATGAATGACGTCGTAATACGCCACTCCTTTCCACGACTCGACGGCAACTGATTGTTCCTTGGAAGGTATGTGAAAGAAGAAGCACGTCGAGGATGTTTTGTCCGACGCGGCCTCGTGGCGTGAAGGTAACGCCAAAAGCGGTAGAACGTCCTTAATGTTTTGCCACGATTCGTCTTCACGATGTTCCTCGGGTGGCGGATACACGAACTCGACTTCTGGTCCAATGCGATGGTCAAAGCACACCACTGCCACGATGAACTTGGTCGGAATAGCCATCGCGCCGCCGCCGCGATGTCGAAAATGGCGCTGGACGTTCCAATAATCCGGATAACGTAACGACCTCTCGGCATTTTACAAAACACATCCATGCCACGCAGGCACCACGGTGGTGTGACGACCAACAACGATGCGTTGCCACAGCCTCCACTTGTCGAGATGGTCTTCCTAGGAACTGCATCCATGGTGTCTTCCCCTACACGTCATGTGGCCGGCATTGGAGTGGTCATCGGCGGCGATTGCTGGATCTTTGACGCCGGAGAAGGCACGGGGACGCAGTTGGCCAAGTCGTCCGTGCTGCAGAGCGCGGTGTCCCGGGTATTCGTCACGCACATGCACGGAGATCATGTGTTTGGTCTCATGGGGTTGCTTCTCTCCGTCGGGAGCACCGGCGACCCCCGAATCATCCAGGTCGACATCGTCGTCCCATCATCCTCCATGTTCACATTCGCTCATCAACATTCATGTAGGTTGTCGGTCCACCTGGACTTCGACGTTTCCTGCGGCGCAACCTCGCCGACACGCAATCAAACATGAAGTGCCAATACCGTGTCGATGAGCTCTGTTTTGAGCAAGCCAAAGACGAGGACGCTTTGTACCTGCCACTGGAAACGCAAGGTCTGAACGTCCTTCCATGCGCAGACGGCACGTGGCGGGTGCCGCCATCTCCATCCACAATCAAGCAGCATCAGCATCGTCACCCCCACGACGACGACGACAACAGCAGCCCCATGGAAGAACCCTTCCATGTGTGCGCAGCTGCCTTAAAGCACACCCTCGAGCCATGCTATGCCTTTGTCATTCAAGAGCGAGACTATCCTGGCCGGTACTCGACACTTACAGAAACTCCAACAAAATTATCCTTGCTGTGTCTATTATATGCAAATATATATGTATAATATGCAAATATATATAGAGTGCACTTGACAAATGAATGCAAAGCAAGATTGCTGCATGACGACAACCAAGCATTTTTGAAAGCTCGGGGCGTAGCCAATCCATTGTCGGTCCTGTCGAGGCTTCAACACGGTCATGCCGTCGAGTTGGCCGACGGCATCCTCGCGCCGGACGACGTCGTGACCGAGCGCCGAATCGGCCGCCGCCTTGCCATTCTCGGCGACACATGCGATTCCCGCGCGGTGGCACGGCTGGCCGTGGGTGCCGACGTCGTGGTAGGTTGTCCTAGTTTTACCCCAAATTTGGACTACTTTTGTACTGCATCGCCGCCAAATCTATGTATCGATCGATGCTTTGTACTGAACTTTGTATGTAAAAACGGGTCCTGTGGTATTAATTCGTATTACACTAATTGAAGTTTCACACTAATTTGACTTTGTTGATGCTGGTTTCCTGCAATCTGATTGGCTAAATCCTTCTGCTCTCGATACTTCTGTCCATTTTATTTGGTTGTGTCGATAGCATTCCTTGTCCATGACACTCCAGTTTAGAATAAACACAGTATTAGTACATTATAACTTGTCCGTCTAAAATGTTGGCAGGTCCATGAGTGCACCAATGCGTTTGTGGAGTCGTTGGACGGCGGCGGCCATACATCGTCGGAACAAGTCGAAGCGGCGACGTACGTCCACGGCCACTCGACCCCGCGCACCGCCGGCCGCTTTGCCCAGGCGATTCAATGCCGGCACTTGATCCTCACACACTTTAGCCGTCGATACAAAGACGACGGGTCTATGGAGCCAGTGATGGACACGATTCGGCGCCAATGCGGAGCCCTGTACGACGCCGGCAAGATCGAGTGTGCGCACGACTTGGAGGCTGTGACTGTCAAAATCCCCAAAGAAGACAGGTACACGGACACAGATCAGGCGTACAAGGACGCCGCGACGGCGGCCGATGAGGCGAAAGCACATGCGCAGGCGTTCTTTCACGCTCATGAAAGCTTGTTGTTGCAGCTGTCGCGTCGCAGTCGACGGCTGCTGGAGTAAAAGTTGGGATCAATAGAAAGGTCACGCCAACGTGTGGTCGAGTATCATGTGCATCGCGAACGTCCTATGGATGGAAACATATCGCTATAGTTGTCTTTAGAAATGTGCGGTTGCTAAAGTACACACAGAGCCAAGTGAGGCATCACACAACCGCCCACGATCCACGTTTGGGCACATACTAGTAGCGTTGGTGGACAGCATCCTTATCTAGCGCTTTCAATACACGGAAGGTTTCATATGCCATTGAGGGGAGTCAGAAGCACATGTAAAGAGGCCGAACGTGCCAAGAAGGTCAACACCGTGCGATTATGTGAACCCAATGAGGACGAGTGTACTTCTAATCCATCGTCTATTACCAAGTCAATAGAAAAAAGGTGTAGTACTAGTTGAAGTCTTTACAATCAACGAAAACATCCGGATATATCCGTACATACGTCGTTTGATGGAACCAAGATCCAACACTTGCCAGACATGTAAAGGTTGCGAGACACTTCGAACGGCGTCCCATGGACTGCCAAGGTGTAGCGGAAGCCATCAACAATCACCGGGGATACGAATGGAGCGAACTACATCACATGCATTGCTGAGCTCGAGTTGGTTGATCCTAAGTTACGTGAAATCTTTGATTGTACCAGTAAGCATGCAAATCCGGATAAGCGTCGCAGTCGTCCGTTAGCTTAAACTTCATTTTGACATGGTTGCGCCTTCGTTCGAGTCGTTCTCGCCGACGACGTTGGCTGATGTGTTGCCACGAGCCCAGGTCCTGCGCCACGATATCCGTCCGCTGTGGAACTCTCCGCGTATCGCTGGCCCTGCCTTTACGGTTCGCCTCCCCCCAGGTTTTCATTCACTACTGCATTCGTACATTTGACGGTCAATGGGTAGGAGACAATTTGATGCTGCATGTTGCCATGTACGAAGCTCCCCCCGGATCCGTGGTGGTGGTGCAGTCTGGAGACGTGAGTTTTGCCGCGATCGGAGGCAACGTGGCTCGTATCGCAAAGGAACGAGGAATCGCAGGATTAGTGCTGGATGGTGTCGTGCGGGACATTGCTGAGATCCGCGCGCTCGGGTTTCCCGTGTTTGCCCGCGGCATTGTTCCTTTTCCAGGCACTAAAACGCGCCGAGGGGCGTTGAATGAACGCGTGGTATGTGGAGATGTGACAGTGGACGCGGGGGACGTGGTCGTCGCCGATGAGGAAGGTATTGTCGTCGTACCCACCTCGCGCTGTCAAGAGTTTTTCCGAGCAGCCCTTGTCCGCCAGCACAAGGAGAACACGGAAGACTACGAAGAGTGGAAGCTGAACCACCGAGCTCGACTACAAGATGCGTACTACAGTCATATTGAGCAATAGAATGACTCTCGCATGAATCTTCATCGGAGCTGGCTTCATTGCGACCTCCTAGCGCATGATAACTCGAAGCCACACTCTGTACAACTAGCGTCTCGCATTCTGATGTGGTCACATGGGATTGGTGGATCTATTTATAGAGGTTTTGTGTGGTCCGAAATTGAACAAAATGAATTTTCTTAGGTATGTATTTACACCGGGTTTTGTGATATAAAAACTAAGGTAATACGAACTATACTACATTAATCTACGACAACCATGGATTCGAAAGATTTATTCGATATTACAGGTATATGTCAAAATAGCCTGTGCAACGAACATTCTCCACACCTGACCCCAAGGCACAAACCCAGATGGAAGGTCAAGGTGTGCGCTCGCTCTTTGGGCCTCCATCTAGTTCCGAGTCTGAAGGATGGGAAGTCGTGGACCAAGAAGACAGGGCAGCAGCGCCTCATGCAGCAAGTCGCCAGGCGTTGAGCATCAACCCGCATGCCGAGGTGAACAAGCCGCAGTTTCCCGTGCGCGTTCCGACGAAAAATGCGGTCCCGAGCCATGTTGTTGAGGATCTCTTGGCGGAACATCACAGGATCCACGGTCGACAGGCGACGTTGGACTTGTACGCCGACGACGCGGACGACAACGACGGTGGTGCGTGGGGCACCGACTCGCCGTCGAACTTGCTCGGCAGCGACGAATTGGATTACGACGACGAGGCATCCCCAGCGAAAGCTCAGACCCTCCATCAAACGTCCTCGTGGAACCAGCATATTGAGTTAAGTCCTCGCCAACCTCCCGCCGGAGCATTTGGCGACGACGACCTGGACTTGGACGATGATGACGACGACTTGTCGACAACGTCGCATCCAGACGTCGCCCGCGGACCTTCAACGCCAACGGCGGCTGAACCGTCGTACGACTTGCATACGAGCAGTCCGTTCAGTGAATCGGCCGAACCTCCCGAAGGGGCCTTTGGGGACGACGATCTCGACCTCGATGACGACAGCGAAGGTGACGTTGACCAACCTATCGTCACCGAGCAAGTTGAACAAGACGAAGTACCCTTCCATGCTCATGTCCCTGAGCAAGTTGAAGTAACATCCCACAATCGTGTCCATGAAGTGCTTGAACACATCAACAGCGACAATGCACCAGAAGTCCATTCGTTTGTGATCGCGCCCGAACTCCACGCCATTCCGCTCAGTCCCTATGACGCCCCCGCGGGAGCGTTCGGCGACGACGATTTGGACCTCGACGACATTGACGAAACAGAACAAGTCGATGACGTGGCAGAACCCCCTGTCGAGATGGACATCCCGGAAGTGTCTCACATTGACACGAGGTATCACCTCCATGACGGTGTAGCAGAAGCCAGTCCCGAAGAAAGCCCGACGCATCGCGACTCATGGACTGGTGAAGCAGTCGGCGTCGACGACGACGTCGTTGGCACTGCCATGTATGCAGAACATGACCAACTTCCTCCCCATCCCCTCCACCACCCCCCGGCTGCTTCCCCCCCCAATCCATTGCCACCAGTGTCGCAGTCAGAGAAGGTTGCCGCAAGTCTGGATGATTCGTCGGTGGAATCGCATGAGCAGCCGGTCCTTCTAGCATCGCCGCCGCCGCTGCCATTTGCATTGGACGAACGAGTAGAAACAGGGCCACCGCTCCATGATCATCCATCCGAAGTCGTGTTGGAAACGTGTTTTGATCGTCGAGCGGATGGCGATGTGGACATTCCAGAAGCCATCCCGCCGCATATTGTTGATCCTCCAAGCGTTCAAGAAGCAGAAGACTGGCATCCAGAGAGTGTGCATGTCATCCCGCCAACTGTCACTAGCGTCTTGGATCGAGACCAAGATGCAGCGAACGTGCTGAGCAACTCTGACCCGCCCGCTGCGGTCGAACTCCACGCCGAGATCGAGTTTGATCACCACCACTCCGCCGCGTCGTTGTTTGCGTCACATGTCGAAGCGTACGATACAGCGTCGCCATTTGATTTGCCACAAGGTGAAGAAAACCCAGCCGACGCGGCGGCTCCTTTGCATGTAATGGAACAACCTCAAGTAGCAGGAAGCAACAACGAGTCTCCGGAGCAGGTGGTCGAAGCGTCCTTTCAAAGCACTAACGTGTACATGGATGATGACACTCAAACACCCGTCCGCTTTCAGTCGGCACAAGCAGCCCCCCCTCCCCCCCACCACCATCACACGTCGGCCCCCGAGGTTCACGGCGGGACCCCCCCCCCGTCGTCGTCGGTCGACAGTGCGCCGCCAGTCCTTGAAGTGTTGGACCATAGCATTGAAAGCCATCCGTCGCCCTTTGACGAGGCCGACGCCACGGGGTTCTTCTCGCCACCAGTGCCGCCGTACCCTGCTCGAGGCAACGTGTCGTCCGGATACGAAGCGGAGGGTGTTGACACGGCAGTGCCCGATGCGTCGGCGGTGTTTTCCGCTGGCTTTGGAGATGATTTGGTGCCAGAATTCCACACCCCTCGACCCTCGTCGGACCAGTACGAGTCGCAGTCTTATGCGACATCGTCGTCACCGTTTGACGACCAGCACGGGGACCATGCCGCCCACAGCGCAGTGTCGCACATTTTGGCTCCGCCTGCCACTAGTGCTTTTGGGAACTACGAGGAAATAACCCCCCCCCATGAGACACTGTTTGACGCGCCTCTCGACAGTCCGGAAGAAACCACGGCCGTGTACGATCACGACCCATTTCGGTCGTCGGCTCATGGTTCCCCGTCGGACTTTGACCCGCAAGGCACGGCTAGTGCAGACGAGTTGTTTTCATCGGCCCCATGCTTTTCAGGGTTCGATGCGACACCACCGCGTGCACCGTCGCACTTTGCAAACCCGTCGCAGTACTACTCGGCCCCCCACGTCCCCACGACCACCCAGCCATTGGACGAGTTTTTCTCGACCGGAATGGATCTGTCGTCGTCGTTCCATTCCGTTGGCCATGATGCCGCCCATCTGTTTGGGGAAGCAATAGGTACCGACGACCACCATCCATTTGGCGATCCATTTGCATCAGCATCAGCTCCCCATCACCACCACCAGCAGCAGCATCATCCAGACTACCACAGCGCCGACGAGTTGTTTCCCCAAGGGAATGATGCCCCGTCGGTCGGCCACGAAGAGCAATGTGGCCACGACCAACGACACAACTACTTGTACCCGCCCCCGACCCCCGTCCACCAGAGCTACTCTGCATTTCAACCACCAGCAACATATGCAGAGCAAACGTTCGAGTCGCATGAGGTAGAGCAATCGCCACCACCTGAACAGCACCCCCATGCAGTTGACCAATCTGGCTTTTTGGACGAGCAGCCTTTGCCACGTAGCCGTTCTGTGATTGGCTACGAACGACATGACTATGCGCCACAAGTTGGCCATGAGGACGAATTCACTGGAGACGACGGACCACCCCCCCCTTCTGCCCAGACTTTTACGGCGGGGGGAGTGCTGCATCAGTCGGACTTGAATGAAGGGCCGACCTTTGGGAGTCCTGAACAGTGTGATCCAGTGCTCAATCAACAAAGGACCGAGTTGTATCGATCCCACCCCTCCTCCACGTCCGACCTGCTCTTGTCCCCTGAAGTTGTACGAGCTCAGTATGCCACCCCCCCTCAACCAGACAACCACTCTACCGGTGTAACGACTTCTGTGACTTCAAATGCATCGCCTGGAAGCAGCACCCTTCTCACGGCGACGACGTACCCCGAGACGACTGCTCCATCACCACCGCCCCACCCCACCACGAAAGCGGCGGAGGTAGCATCAACCAACCGCCCACCCCACCAAACGCCGCCAGTATTCCAAGTCTCGAAACTCAAACTCCATTTGGACGAGAATGACGTGGAAGACGTGCCCACGGCCGACTCTTTGTTTTCCCCGACCAACGGCAACGAAATCTCCAGTGTGTTTGGGGCGTCAGCGTTTGATCAACCGCCGAGCTCACTGGGCGGGTTTGCCAATAACGCCACGACGTTGTTTAGCCAAACCAGCAGTGCTACTGCCGTGGAGTCGTTTGCACGTCCTCGTCCTTCGTACGAACCATCGCCTGAGACACCGTTTGCAAGTGAGACACCGTTTGCAAGTATCTCCTCAGCCAATGAGTACGGCCACACCACGGCGGCATCCTTTGAAGAACCAGCGGCCGCCGATTTGTTTGCGGGGTCGGTGTCGTCGACTCCCTTTGACCAGCAACTTGACTTTGCCGAATCAACCGAACACCAACATCCCTTTGGACAAGCGGCGACTCATCAAGACGATGCTGCGCAAGGGTTTGGACAGTATCCCGAGCCGTCTCCGTACAACCAGTCGGCCGCAAATGCGTTCAATCAAGCTGCAGAACCTACACATGCACACAAAAGTACTCCGTACAACACGTACAGTACAAACGCCCAATCCAGTTATACTGACCAGGCTGGGCATGGCGGGGATTTCAATCAACCTGCGGCTGCTACACGGCATTACGATGCTCATTCGTCATATGACGCCCAGTATGGCCAACACCAGCCACCCACGGGGTATGGGTATGCGCAACCAGGGTACCAGCAGCCCCCTGTCTACCACCAGCCTGTAGCTCAAACGTTTGACCAGCCAGCCCCACCATCGTACCCCCAAGCTCCAGGACACGGGTTTAGCCAACCGGCTTATACACAGCAACAACAACACAACTACCACCAGCAACAGCAAGGCCACGACCACCACCAGCAGCAGCAAGGCTACAACCAGTCGCACCAATACACCGCACACCCTTCGCCCCATCCTTCCCACGGATACCCCGGCGAGACGGCGCGGCCTGCTGCTGTGAAGCCCGCCATCTTTAAGCCGCAAGTGGCTCAAGCCCAGCCTGTGGCCTACGAACAACAGCACGTTCCGCGTATGAGTCGTGAGCTACAGCAGCAGTACAAGCCGGCTGCTTCGATTCCACACCCCACGACCCCTGCAGTGTTCAATCCTGCCCCCAAGACTTCAAATCGACCGAAGGATCCGTCGGTGGTTCCGCGCACTTGCTTGGCCGCGTTTGGGTTTGGGGGGACGGTATGCGTCATGTTTCCTCGGCGAAAGCTCAAGCTACTCAGTACAGCGCTGCCGCGAAACAGCCCGCGTTCACTGCAAGGGTACTACTACCTATCTACCTATGTACCTATCTATGTACCTACTACAAGGGTACCTATCTACCTACCTACCTATGTACCTATGTACCTACTTGGTCCCTGTACAAACAATCCCACGGGTCTAACCTACTCGTATATCGGTTGTGTGTTTAGATCCTCCCATTCCTTTGACGAACCCCTCGATGAATCCAGAAAAGGGCCATTGGATTTCTACAAGATGGACTCGCTGCACCATGGATCGGATGGGTTTTACGAAAAAGTCCGCGGGTTTCCCGGCCCGCTCTTGCCGTCGACGTCGGACGAGGCGATCCTCAAGTACATGGGGGCGCAAGGATCGGTCCACGAAGACGAGCGCGTGCTGTGGGAACTCATGCACGTGTTTGTCAAGTCCAAGGGAAAAGTAAGCAACCGCGACGCGACCGATATGTTGCTCTTGCCATTGCTGCAGAACTCTCTGGCGCGGCGCAGCAACGCGCAGTACGACGCGGCGCTGCCTCCCATCTTGAACACCCGCGCCACCGACGAATCAAATGCGACGATCCGTCAACTGCTGCTAAACGGCGATCGGAAAGCTGCCGTCGACGTGGCCGTAGCCGCCAACATGTGGCCGGAAGCGATGCTCATGGCGTCTATGGTCGACTCTGCCCTGTACAAATCGGTCGTGGAGTCGTTTGTGTCGTCGCGGTACGGCTCGGGTGACCCGTTGCGGACCATGCTGATGGTGTTGGGTGACTTGGGCGTCCAGAGCGTCCAGGAAGTTCCCAATAACCACGTGTCGAAAGATCAATTGCCAACGACTGACAGTTTATTGCTGGGCAATTGGGTGGCGCAAGTGCAGATTTTGATTGCCAACCCCACGACCAATACCAACACGGTGCTCGTCGAGCTGGGCGACCGGTTGCTGCGGGAAACCAACAATGTATGGGCGGCGCACACGTGCTTTTTGCTCGCGGGGGTGCCCGTGGAAGCCCCGAACGCGCGGATGACGCTGATTGGCGGCCACGCGACCGGCGACGTCCGGTTCTTTGTCCGGCCCCACACGATCCAGTGGACTGAAGTGTACGAACACGTGACGAGCCCGACGCCGCTGGTGCCGTTCCAGGGCTACAAGTTCATTTATGCGACACTGTTGGCCGATGCTGGCTGTTGTGACGTGGCGTTCAAGTACGTGGACGCGATGCGCAAGACACTCGAGACGTGGACACTCAAGCTCAAGATGCCGTCGTCGCCGTACCTTGACAACCTCAAGATGCAACTCGATGTGTTTGACGATCGCCTGCGCTTCTTCATGGGCCAGGAGCGCGTCGACGCCGCCGAGGTTCAAGTGGCCAAGAAGGGCGGCGGATTGTTTAGCTCACTCACGGGCTTTCTCGACAAGACCCTCGATAAGATTGTGAACGATACCCCCCTTCCCCCAGCCAAAACAGTGTCGATGGTTACAGGCACCGCGTTTGCCCCGCACATGTTTCCGCCGGCTCCCCCCGCCTCCAACAACTCGCAGACGGGTCCTGGCTCGCACAACTCTGGCATTGCCGCCCCGGGGTCGCAAGGTGGGCACAGCAGCGCATCGTCTAGGGGGCCATATGCAGCTGCTCCGGGGTCGCAAGGCGGGTACGGTCCTCCCTCTGGAACGTCGTCGCACAATCACAAGGGATTCGCTGCGTCCCCCCAGGCCGCCGCCGACGCGTCTGGGTTTGGAATTGACTCTCAAAACGACCCGAGTAGCTGGAACACCCCCCCCCACCACCCCCCCGCAGCCCCCACCTCATCGCATGAGGCTGTGGCTGAACATAGCGCGTTGCCACCGCGTTCCCAACACTCGAATGCCGCCGCCGCGCCAGTGTCGGCGCCAACGCATGCCCAACCAGTGCCCCATCCCCCGCTGAAGAAGAGCAGCAGCTTCTCGATGGACTCGAAATCGCACGTTGTCGCAAACAAGCCCGAAGCCCCCGACACTGCAACAAGTACGTCCATTTCCAAAGCCAAGACCCCGCCGACGTCCCAGAAGAAGTCGGGCTGGGGATTCCCGTCGCTGAGTTTGCCCTCCCTTGGCATTGTCGACATGCTGCGACGAGGCGCCGACCCCGTCGGAGATGCCACCGTGGCCAAAGTGGGCAGGGACATGGAAGCGTATTTCTGCCAGGAAAAGAAGCGATGGGTGTTCCCCGGCGAAGAAGCCACGGACGACGCCGCCGGTCCCCCTTCGGCGCCCCCGACGTCGTTTGCAGCCGCGGCACCCTCGTCCTCAGCCTCCTCGGCCCCCGACGACCCCCTTGCAGCCCTCATGGCACCCCCACCCATGAAGGAAACCACCCCCCTCGCAGCCATGATGGCGCCGCCGGCGAGAAGCATGTACGGATCCCAGCGAGGCGGCGCAGCGGCGGTGAAACGCGCGCCGGCGCGACCGCAATATGCCGTGTTCAAGCCAAGTCCGGCGGCGGCGTCTTCCGTTAGCGACGACCCTCCAGGCTCGGCAAATGACAATTCGTCCTTGCCGCCTCCTCCAGGGTCATCTGGAGGTCAATAGGGTCTCTTGACATGCATGTAATAAGAACACATTCTACATCCAGCAGCACATGTCATCGCGAAGTCATCGGTTAACCTAGGAAACATTGGGAGTATTCATTCAGTCGTGGCTTATTTGTCGGCGTCGTTCTTGGCGGCTTGTTGTTTTCGCTGCTGTGCAACTTCGTCGACTTTGAAGAACTTGTCCAATTGTTCCTGCGTGTACTTTTGAATCTACGTCACAAACACACCACCATGAGATTGGATGGATGCAGGAACGAGATTGTGGTGGTGTGTAGTGGTGGACGTACCCCAGTGAACACATGCTCTTGATCCGGCAGACCCATGGGGCTCTTGTACTCCGTGAAGAGGACGAGCTTCACAGTGAGCACCGAGCAGAGGCCCACGCTGAAGATGTGCAGCGGTCGGTAGAAGCGCTTGTCGAGGAGTGCCATGATGACGGTGTTTCGACTGTTGGTGAGATGGGAAGGCAATCCGGATAATCACACTATTTATGTTCACTGCTTACCGTACGTGTTACGAAATGACGTTTTACATAAAAACCGCTTTATTGAGATTTCGTACTGACACCTGACCACCATGCCACGGAACTCGGGGCGTCGCAAGGTGGCGTCTCAAGCATCCCTGGAAGCGGATGCAAGAAGCACTCCAATGGAGCCTGAACCACAACCGGGTGACCATGAAGCCATCTTGGAATCGATGGCGACGATTGTCATGCAAGTGGACTTGAATGGCATCCTCACGTACATGAATCGCCACACGCAATTGGTGCTCGACTGCGATGCATCCACTGGAATCGGCAAAGCCTTCGTCCACACATTTGTCGTGTCTTCTAGTAGAAAGACCGTCGTCGACGCTTCACACTCAGCTGCTTCCACTACAAGAGTCGATTCACGTGCGACGGTGAACAAACACCTCCAGGGCGTGCTGGGGACGGCCGAACCCGCGGTGTTCCAGTGCTCGTTGCAAACGTACGGGTCTCCGTCCACCACGATGGACGTCTTGTTCAGCGCTTCCCCTCGCATGGATTCCAGCCGGAACGTCATCGGGTGCATCCTCGTCGGCACCGACGTGACGTCGTCCGCGCCAGAGGTCAAGGCCACAAGCAGCAGCGAGCACGTATACGCGCGCATTTTGGAGCGGGCGAACGCGCCGATCTTTGGGGTCGACCACCTCGGCCGCGTGAACATTTGGAACAAGAAGACGGCCGAGATCACGCAGTTCCCGGCGTCCGAAGTCATGGGGCTGCACTTGGTCGACACGTTCATCGCCCCGGCTTACCGCGGCCCGGTACTAAAACCCAATGGCCCTTTGTGTTGCCAACTGGGTCTTTCTTATCTTATGTGTTACTAGGTCGGTGAAGTGTTGAATCAAGCACTTCACGGCGTGGAGACGGCGAACTTTGAGTTCCCCCTCGATACCAAACATGGCGCACGGCAGCTGGAGATTCTGCTCAATGCAACATCCCGCTACGACGAAGTGGGCAACATCGTGGGGGTCGTGGGCATCGGCCAGGACATCACCGATCGGGTAGCTCAAGAGCAGGTACGTCCTAGTTGATTTTTAGTAGTACTAGTTGAGATTTAGTAAGCCAGAGAACATAGTATAAAGATGGCGAGTAGTAGTCCATGTTGAAAGGATGTAAAATGTCCTTACTTGTTAGTATTACTAACAAGTCAAGCATGTCGTCTACTTGTAGGAATATTCTCGGTTGATTGACAAGGCGAACGCGCCCATCTTTGGCGTCGACTCGAACTGTTGTGTGAACATTTGGAATCGCAAAGTGGCGGAAATCACCCAGTACACGATGGACGAAGTCGTGGGCGAGAACCTTGTCGAGAAGTTTATCAGCGAAGAGTTCCGTCAGGGGGTGGGTATTTCTAGTAGTTGCTCTAGTAGTTGCTCTAACGATCAAGCAATAGGTGCGACACGTGCTCAGCTTGGCGCTACGGGGCGACGAGACGGCCGACTTTGAAGTGCCGCTGGTGACTAAAACTGGCCGGAAGGTCAACATCTCCCTGAACGCCACGGCTCGATTCGACCAGATGGGACATATCATTGGGGTTGTGGGCATTGGCCAAGACATTACAGATCGAATTGCACAAGAGCAGGTACGTGTAAAGGCGTGGCTTGAGAGGACTATATATATATATATATATATATATTTGATTGTATTGGTAGGAATACACGCGCTTGATTGATACGGCGAACGCGCCCATCTTTGGGGTGGACCAGAATGGGCTGGTGAACATTTGGAACAAAAAGGCGGCGGAAATCACGCAGTACACGCAGCAAGACGTGATGGGCAAGAACCTCGTGGAAAAGTTCATCACGGAAGACTACCGCAAAGCTGTGGGGTAAGAGTGTTTGCACTTGAAGTTCTCACTTTGCACTGACTGGACGTTCACTTTGCACTTATACTTGAAAGCTCAGTTTGCACTTGAAGTTCTCACTTTGCACTTGCATGATGACAATTCTTGGCTGTAGATACGTGCTGTCAAGGGCATTGCAAGGCACAGAGACGGCGAACTTTGAGTTCCCACTCATCACCAAGACTGGTCGGCGCGTGGAAATCCTGCTCAATGCAACGCCTCGCTTCAACGAACTCGTACGTCCCGAACCTCGTTCTTTACACTTTTGCATACGACGTAGTACAGTATATTTATATATATAATATATATATATCGTATGTATATTATATTATGGTATTGTATATATATATATCGTATGTATATAATATTATAGTATTATATATATATATATACTGTATATTATATTATGGTATTGTATATATATATATATAAACTGTATATTATATTGTGGTATTGTATATATATATATACTGTATATAATATTATGGTATTGTATATAATATACATACGAACTTTACCATCGATCTCAAGCTATTACAGTGTATATGACACTGTCTTTCAAAGCCAATAATACTATACATTATCATTCGTTGTTGAATCTTCATATTGTAGGGCAAAGTCATGGGGATGGTCGGGATCGGGCAAGACATCACGGACCGAATCGCCCAAGAACAGGTATTATTGTGCATTTCACCCACATTTGGACTTGTGAATCATGTCGCCAAATACAAAGCACTCGAATCCATTTGATCCCATTTAAGCTTGTACAAACTATATACTATACAAAGATCCATATGTATGTATATGGTTTTGCCAAGGGACTGGGTCGAGTCAAACGTTTGGATTGGCAGAAATTCACCAGAGAGTGATTTGATTGGCTAGGCGGTTGTTGAATTATCCATTCTCTTGAGACATTCGATAATATTCTGCTACGGGCTCCAGTTTCGAATATCGATTTGACAATATAGTACAGTTATAGTCTACACTATAGTTGACGTTGCTATAATGAACGAAATAGTTTTTTTGATAATATATTTCTTGATTATTTATTTTTAAAAAAATATTTACTTTATGACATAATAAACATGGCTTGGTGGTTCTACTTGGTTGCATTCTGATGAAAGTTGTTTTTCGTGTAGGAGTATTCTCGGCTGATTGACAAGGCGAACGCGCCTATCTTTGGCGTCGACGCCGACTTGCGGGTAAACATTTGGAATAAAAAGGCGGCCGAGATCACGCAGTTCTCGAACGAAGACGCGATTGGTCAGAATTTGGTCGAGACATTTATCAGCGAAGAGTACCGGCTAGCAGTGTCGGAGGTGTTTGCCAAGGCGTTGACGGGCACTGAGACGGCGAACTTTGAGTTCCCGCTCATCACGAAAAGCGAGCGGCGCGTGGAAATCCTGCTCAATGCGACGCCGCGGTACAATGAACTTGGAGATGTGATTGGCGTCGTGGGGATTGGTCAAGACATCACCGACCGAATTGCGCAAGAACAGGTATGTACATACAGTAGTTAGTTGGTCAGTCGTTAGTTAGTTGTTCTACGTTTGTGTTAACGTGTATTTACGATAGGAATACTCGCGCTTGATTGACACGGCGAACGCGCCCATATTTGGCGTGGACTCGAACATGTGTGTAAACATTTGGAACAAAAAGGCGGCGCAGATCACGCACTACTCGATCTCTGAGGTACTTTAAGGGCCCAATGTAACTTGTGGTGGATTTACACTTATGGTGGATTTACACAGTTTGGAATGTGGTTGATTGTCCTTGTCACACACCAAATTTGTATTTTAAATCAACTTGGCAATATATTGTCGATTTGATATGGGAGAGGGTGCAATCGAATCGCGCCGACGAAACCGATCCACAATCGATCTGATTGGTTAAATTTCATTGAGAAATGGGTTTTGATTGGCTAATAATGTTGAGCGCATCTGAAGTAGCCAATCAAATCGATTTTAATTCCAACGAGAAACCACGCCACAACACAATGAAATGTCACTGGAAAGCACAATACATATATCTTGTGTTTACTATAGTATATACAAACATGGTGTATTGTTTTCAATATGCTTTCCGATTTTGTCACAGTATGATTTCCCAATTTTTTTATTCGACAGGTTGTTTTAGAAATATGGTTTGGATTGGCTCAACCATTCAGAAAAATCTTGTATAATCAAGGGTTATTAGAATGGATTTTGATCAAATCGATTTGCCAAGTCTATTCGATTATTCTACTGGCGACTCCAATTACGAAACCGACAAATGGACAATAATAGGTGATGGGGGAGAACTTGGTCGAGACGTTCATCTCGCCAGAGTACCGCCCGGGGGTCGCCGATGTTTTGTCCAAGGCTTTGAATGGCATCCAGACGGCCAACTTTGAGTTCCCGCTCATCACGCGACCAGGCACGCGCATTGAAATCTTGCTCAACGCGACCCCGCGCAACGATTTACATGGTGCGTTTCTTCATATTAATATATATATATATATGTTGAATTAAAAAATACAACAACTTCTGAACTTTTCACAGTGTAGACGTATGTATTATTATATACTACGTAGTACATAACAATGCTCATCTGTTCGTTTGTTTGGGGTGCGTCAACATATGTTTTTACATATGCTTTTATAAAATATAATATATTAATATATATATATATATGTTGAATTCAAAAATACAACAACTTCTGAACTTTTCAAAGTGTAGACGTATGTATTATTATATACATAACAATGCTCATCTGTTTGATTGTTTGGGGTGCTTCAACATATATGTTTTTAAATAAGTGTATGTGTATGTTTTTATAAAAAATAATATATTTTATATTAATATATATATGCTAAATTAAAAAATACAACAACTTCTGAACTTTTCAAAGTGTAGACGTGTGTATTATATACACGAGTAACGTTATGCTTGAATAACTGGACGACAATGCATAGATTGATTGTACGGTCTGTCGCGTTGCAATATTTCCAATGTGTTATGGCACCTGAGACCCTTCCTTTTCTTCTCCAAAGCCAGTTGTTTGTTGACATCTTGTGGTTGGTTGTATATGTAGGCAACATTGTGGGGGTGGTGGGCATCGGCCAAGACATCACGGACCGGATCTCTCAAGAGCACGAGTACTTTCGCCTGATTGACTCTGCGAACGCGCCCATATTTGGCGTCGACACGAACGGCAACATCAACGAGTGGAATCAAAAGATCGAGTTCATCACGGGGTACCAGAAGGACGCCGTGTTTGGCATGGGCCTGGACACGTTTATCATCCCCGACAGCCGGTCCCAGGTCAAGCAGCTGCTCAACCAGGCGCTGATCGGCATCGACGTGGGCGAGATGGAGCTGCCGATGATCACAAAGAAGGGCACGTTCCTGCTCCTGCTCGTGAACGCGTCGTCCAAGAAGGACATCCACGGCAACATCCGCGGAGTGATTGGCGTCGGACAAGACTACACGGCACGCAAGCAAATGGAAGCGGCCAAAGTCAACTTTTTAGCGTCGTTTAGCCACGAATTGAGGTACTCACCATAACTATATATATATATATATATATGCATTGGGTATTGTTAATATTATATATATATATATGCATTGGGTATTATTAATATTATATATATATATGCATTGGGTATTATTAATATTATATATATATATGCATTGGGTATTATTAATATTATGTATCTATATATATATGTATATTTACTGGACTCTAACGTGGGGAGCGGATTCATATGACTACCGTATACTAGTATATATCATTCTATATATATATATATATATATACCTCGTATATTGGACGGTCGGAATAAGACGTAAATGACGCCCTGAGTTGTTCCTTGTGGGATCGTTTTGAATATATTATTCATTTGAATTGGACTACCTATATGATGCCATGCGAATTGTACGACCTACCTTATGAGAATTGTACGACCCATGACTGTGTTATTAGAACGCCGTTGAATGGCGTGTTGGGGATGCTGGAGCTTTTGAAAGAGCAAAAGCTGGGCAAAGTACCCGAGAGATACGTGCACATGGCGTACGTGTCTGGGTCGCTGCTGCTCAACTTGATCAACGACATCCTGGACCTGTCAAAAATTGAAGCCGGCCATTTGGAGATCCAGTCGGCGCCGTTCCATATTGAAGACCTGCTGGATTACACGATCGAGATCTTCAAGTTCAAAGCCCACGAACGAGGGCTCAAGCTGTCGGTGGTGCTCGCGCCCAACGTGCCCGAAGTGGTAAAACTCTGTCGCATGCTCCTTCTATGCCAACGAATATATATTCTCGTTTTGTATGTAGGTCATTGGGGACGTGGTCCGTCTGCGCCAAATTCTCCTGAATTTGCTATCGAATGCCATGAAGTTTACGCTCAAAGGCACGATCACAGTCAAGTGCAGTGTCGCGCCGTCGAATCCTGACCAACCATCGCATCACAAGCGCTTGTTGTTTCAAGTCATCGACACGGGTGTGGGTACGTACTTATTTATTTTAAATAACACTAGAGTCCCCGCGACGTCCAGTTATATTGGGCATTCAATATTGTCGTTTTACCCAAAATTTGGTTGACTTTGGTGCAGAATCGCCAAATCTATCGTCGATCGATCCTTCTTTGTACTGAATTTTGTATGTACACTACAGGTGTTTGATATCACACTAATTGAAGTCACACACTAATTTAACATTGTTGGGGATGGTTTCTGCAATCTGATTGGCTAAATCCTACTTATGATGATTCTTGTGTACATTTAATTTGGTTGTGTCGATTCATTATTCTCCATGTCGCATCTCCAGTTTAGAATATAAACACATAAACAATTTAAACTTTTAAAAATTCGTAAGGTTTGTTTAATTAATATAGAATCGCGCTCGAGTAGTTCTAATTGGTTGAATCTACTGTGTAACTTTCTGAAACAGTCAATCCAATCCACTCAAAATTGGATTACCCGGCAATAGCGTCGATGATTCAATGATTTGGCGGAGTCTGGAAATTTGGAAATATATATAATAGACCGAGTCATGCACACTCTTTATTAAATATATATATACATGTTTTGATGACCACATCTATTTGTTGTCTTGGAAACTCTCTCTGTCGTATATGTATGATTTGATACAAATTTGGGGAGGGGGTGGAATCGAATCGCGCCGACGAAACCGATCCACAATCGATCTGATTGGTTGAATTTCATTGATAAATGGGTTTTGATTGGTTAATAATTTTGAGCTCCTCTGAAGTAGCCAATCAAATCGATTTAAATTCCAATGAGAAACCACACCACACCACAATGAAATATTCACTCGAAAGCACAATATATGTATATGATTTATATTTCCACAGGAATGGACGCCGAAGAAAAATCGCGGCTGTTTTCGCTGTTTACGAAGCTGGAGCGCACGCGCAAGAACAACCCGACGGGGTCCGGACTCGGGCTCGCCATTTGCAAGCAGCTGGTGGAGCTCATGGACGGACAGATCGACGTCGACTCGGAGCTCGGCATCGGGTCCGTCTTCTTCTTCTCGGTCGCGGTGCGCGTGATTCCAGACGAGCTGCTGCCCAAGCTGGCGCCGCAGCTCGAGCCCAAGCAGAGCAACAGCATCGGGGGGTTTTCGCCCAGCGCGCGCGACGAGTCTGTCGTGCCAAAGCAAGCGCGGATTCTGGTCGTAGAAGACAACGACTTCAACTGGGAAGTGGTCAAGTGCTTTCTCCACGGGGGCGATGACCACTACCTCCAGTGGGAAATTAACGGCAAGGATGCCGTGGATGCGTATGTGAGCCACCACGAGTCGTTTGATATGATCTTTATGGACTGCGAGATGCCCGTCATGGACGGGTACGCTGCCACGCAAGCCATTCGCCAGTTTGAAGCGGGTACATACAAAATACATATGAACCACCAGTTGGCATGTCTACCTTGTCGTTTCTATTTAAATTCTAGTCAATATTTGGCTATTTTTGTGCGGATTTGCCAACTCAATCGATCGATTGATTTGTTGTTCTGAAAGTAATTGTATGGAAAGCAGGCCAGTGGGGATACCCATCATATATTAATATATATTTGTTTGAAACACAACAATAATAAGATATCGATAGAGAACGGCCTGCCGCGGATGCCCATCTTGGGGTTGACAGCATACGCCATGTGCGGCGACCGAGAAAAGTGTGTGGACGCAGGTATGGACGAGTTTATCGTCAAGCCCATCTCCAAGTCGGGGCTGCTCAAGGCGATCTCGTACTGGATGCGCAAGCGGTACATGTATACATACCACTCTTGAAAAGTGATATGGACCAGAGACAGGACTCATATGTACATGTAGGTACATTCCAAACCTCAACTTGGCCGAGTCGGGGCTTCTCTTGGACGGATACCCCGACCTGGCGACGTCGTCCCCCCGCAGTTCAGTGGAAACCACCGACCTACAGCCTCCCTCTGACTTTTTCACAAACTCGTCGCGCAAGATGAACGTCAACCTCGTGCATGCATCCAACCACACGCAGAATTTGGACTTGACGCGAGCCATTTCCGACTTGGAGCTGGAAGACCCGATGATGATTGGCCGACATCGCGTCATGGCCACGTACGACACGTCCACCATCGACGACACAACGTCCAATTCAGGCGGCAAGCCGTGCAATCAGTCCATGTTTAGCCTCGGGGTATCATCTTCGTCATCCAACATGCGGTCGTCGTCCAGCCGGTCGCCGATTCCACACACCACGAGCCCCATGTCCAAGACATATCACACATTTGAGCAAGCTAAACACGCGGCGGCAATGATGAAGGGCGTGGACCTCGCTCGACGACGCCATACCTCCAACAGGTACGTACAGTAAGGAGTAGTACTGTACATTTTTCAATCAATATCGACCTATGTATATATTATATATATATATGTTATCCGATATTACCCAAACATTTGGACACTTTGGATTCGTTAAAAATATATCGATCGATCGATTCGTTGTATTGACTTGATTGGCCACTGGTTCATGTTCTGGGTTTTGATTGGTCGGTTTTCGATTGGTGCTGCTGCTCATACAGTACCACCCCACTTCAATGTCGGATCGACAATTGACAATATATGTATTTATGTTATATGTATTTATATTATATATGTATTTATATTATAGATGTATTTATATTATAGATGTATTTATATTATAGATGTATTTATATTATATATGTATTTATATTATATATGTGTTTATATATGCACAGTCGGGGTTTGCTCCGTGCCGTTTGTCGACGTTCATTGTCGATATTGTCGGTATTGAGCCAAAATTTGGACACTTTTTTGCTGATTTCCCAAATTCCCATCGATCGAGTGTTTGTATACTGAATTTTGGCTGTCAAAACATGTCCAGTGGCGAAAACCATATTTTGGGGGTCCAAATCATATCCTCCTAGTACAGGCGACGACGGATTTCAAGGGTGTCCTTCACACTAATAGAAGTCCACACACTAATTAGTTGTTGATTGGTTGAACTGGTGATTTGGTGCGATCTGATTGGCTAAATATGCTACGATCGTTCGGTCCATTTGGGGTTGTGTCGTCGATACATTCTCGTGGGCCCCGTTTGTTTGGAATAGACACAACAATTGAATTCACTGCAAATTGCATTTTATATCTTTGAGTAGTTTGCCAGACGTGACCAAACTCCTTCGGCCGTTGGCACAGGCTGTTGCAGATGACGACGACGACGACGCTGCTGCTGCGGAATGGCAAAGGCAACAAGCCACCACCACCACCCATTCCCAGCATCATACTAGTACGCGACAAGGTTCGCTCCCGCCCGTGCCTTCCGTACTCGTAAACACGTCGTCGGTGCTGGACATTGAAATTCCGGACGGCGACCCCGTCGACTACTCGACGGGTGTGTCCCAATGCGGCGGCAACGAAGACCTGTTCTTGAAACTCCTGGAAAAGTACTATCTCGGGCTCGACGCGGCCATGCATAAACTGGAGAAAGCACACCACAACCAAGATGTGGCGGTCGTGAGACGGGACGCGCACTCGCTGAAGGGCAGCTCGGCGTACGTGGCCGCCATGAGAGTGAGCAAGGCGGCGTTCCGCGTGCAAGTGGCGGCCGAGCACGTGCAAAACAACAAAGCCCTGCCCGACTCGACTGCGACATTTGAAGCATCCTACCGCCAGCTCATCCAAGAACTCAAGGCGCTCAAAGGATATCTGCGACGCAACTTTCAATTTGCCAGACCTGCGGTGAATCCATCGTCGTCGTCGTCGTCGAGGGGCCCCACGAGTGACACCACGCCCAAAGGAGCTGGCCCATGTCAAGTCATGTAGTTCATTCTATATAACATTTTATATAGATTATCAAGTTGGATATTTTAACGTTATGGTATTGTTATGTATTTATATTCTAAACTGGAGATGCGACATGGAGAATAATGAAATCGACACAACCAAATAAAATGTACAGAAGAATCATCGTGGCAGAAGGATTGAGCCAATCAGATTGCAGGAAATCACCATCAACAAATTTAAATTAGTGTGTGACTTCAATTAGTGTGATACCAATCACCTCAGGACCCCGTTTTACATGCAACATTCAGTACAAACAATAATCGATCGGTAGATTTGGCGATTCAACACAAAAGTCAACCAAATTTTGGGTAAAACGACAATAACTAGTACATACATATATTCGAAAAGAGGAGGCATTCGTTCTCCGAGTAAGGGTTTTTATTAGCTTTGAAGATTAACGTAGCTCAGCTAGCTTGAGTTTTTCTATTGGACACATTCGTTTACCCATACCGTATTCAGCATCAAATTCAAGTGAATTAAAATACGCAAAGTTCGAGCTTTAACAAAAAAGGTCTACAATCAATCTTTTTAGCCAATCAAATTGCAGCCAATCAAATTGTAGCCAATCATACTCCTTTGCTCGATTAGTTGGCGATTATTCATCAATCCCCCAAAATAGGCAATTTTGACTGAATGCACAATATAAGAGTAAAACGACAAAACGATGTCGCTGTATAGTGTACTACTATTAATAGTATGTTGTATCTCAAACAAAGATGAACTCGCGGTCTGGTTAATATTATCAGTATATTAAATTCGACTTATTAACTGTAAATTGCGATTCCTAGCGAATATTCCAACTATATATATGTAAGCGAGTCGACTTGTTTCGTCGGCTCTATAATCCACAGTAGGTAGTCCCGTCGATGCCAACCATCCCCCCAGTCTGAGTTCTTGTCAAAATTGTTCGTATATGAACGTGTAGTTTTCAAAGTGGTTCACCCTCTTGGACGTTATACCATGTACAGACAAATATATATTGAATGTGCGTTTACACTTCTTCATACCCTCGCCGATACGAGTAAAAGCGCACAAACATAGCCAGACATAGCCCGCCCACCACGACGCACGTGCTGACAATCCCCATAGTCCAGTTCACTTCGACTACCTTTTGGACGTCGGGGAGGCCTAGTTTGCGGTTGCCGCAATCGGCATTCAAGCACGTCCCCCAAGGACTTTTGGCGGCCGAGTAGAGGCTTTCGTTGGCTTGGAGCAGCACTTCGCGAACCACACGACCGTGCCACTCTAACGGAGCGTCAAATCCTAAGAAGTGGGCGACTGTCGGCGCCGTGTCTTCGATGGAGATGGCGCTTTTGAGTTCGCGGCTGCCTTCGATGATGTCTACCCACAATCGTACTGGTGGTTACTACATTATCTGTGACATCGTTGGGTCGTTAATAGTTAGTTACCTTGGCCATACACGACCCACTGGGTTTCAAAGTTGGACTTGGCTTTTCCGCCATGATGCGTGCCATCTTCGTTGCGCCCGTGGTCCGACACGACAACAAACACGGTCGAGTTGGCAAGACCAGCTGACGCGACCGCGTCCAGCAAGCGGCCAATGTTGGCGTCCGCGGCGGCGATCGCGAATTGGCCGATGTCGGCAAAGCAGCTCGACTCTGTCGCACACGCATCCGCTTCGTCGTAATGGAGCACCAGCAGCTGCGGCATGGCGGTCGCTGTGATAAGGGTCAGCGCTTCGTCCGTGAGTAGAATTGACGCATTGGTCGTGCCGCCGCAGTCCGAGCCTACGAACCAAGAAGTTTAACATGCAGGCAAACAGTGTAGCTTGATCTTGTATGTAGAGGCCAAGGCCATGAAGCTGGCTTTGCGCTACCAGTTTTGGCGGCTAATTTAGCTAAAAATGCACGAAGAATTCGAGTCCAAAAGGGCATAGATGATAGCAGCAAGACTTGGTCGTACTGTCGATGAAACGTCTTGTGTCGATGGCGACAGTTTCGTTGGGCAGAATCGAATCAAAGTTGACCCATTCGTAAAACAAAGCGGTCGTAAAGTCGGGCTGTTGCTGCTTCGCCACGGTGAATAGGTCGGGGTACACCACACACTCGTCGAGATATGGCGGCGTGTAGTTGACGTCGTCTTCGTCGTGCGTGCAGTACGTCCATCCATTGGATGTCACCCCATGGAACATGACGCCCGCGCCGTACAAGATCGACGCCCAGTTGGGCAAACTCACGGCAGGGCGGTTGTTCCGTGCCTTGTCTGTGTACACGCCGTGGTTCCGCAAGTACTCCAAGTGGGGGGCGCTTCCATTTGCAAGGGCTTGATGGAGGCATCGCACGTCAAGCCCATCCAACCTACGCCAACATATAATCATCCATGAGGAGCAGATGACCGAGGACGTACCCAATGAGCACAACATGCTTGGCACTTCCATAGCCGCGGAGGTCACGCACAGACGCAAGGGTGTCCTGGCTAGCCAGCGCCAGAACCATCAGCGCCACCACGAAGATGTTGACTGTCATGTGATTCTTCACAAAAGATTTGTTGTGCTTTGGTCGAAGGGCAACAGTTGTCAAGTATCCGGATATTTAACCGGATGTGTTGGATCCCACAGTTCCGGATACGGTTACACTTTTCAGGACAACGAAGCTGTCCATCATCATGACGACGCTGACACCGTCGTTGGCGAAGATGCGTGCGCAGTTTGAGAAGCAGGAGAGGCTGAGCATGGAGTCGGCTCTTGAGATCATCCACACGGCGCATGACGTGATGGACAAGGAGCCCAACTTGCTGTACTTGAACGCGCCGGTCGTTGGTCCGTCACATGGCCATGAATTGTAGACTGTTCACCCTTTATCTAACGTTGGGAGCTGTGTAGTGTTTGGCGACATCCACGGACAGTTCTTCGACTTGATGAAGCTACTCGACAAGTGCGACTTCTTCCAGCCTTCGTTCGCCGACTCTGGTAATCCCTCGTTGATGCATCGTCCATCGGCTCTAATGTGGCTATGTGGATCGTACTAGGTCATACGCTGTTGTTTCTGGGCGACTATGTTGACCGCGGGGCGTTCTCTTGCGAAGTCATGCTCTTCCTTCTCTGCATGAAGACCCACGTACGATCGTCGACATTGTCTATTCCTCCAATCCCTCTATGGCCAAATCGTTCGAGACTGTAGTACCCGTCGCGCGTGTACCTCCTTCGCGGCAACCACGAATGCGAATCCATCTCGTCGTTCTACGGGTTTCGCGTAGAATGCAAGGCCAAGTACGGCTTGTCCGTGTACTACCACTTCACGCAATGCTTCAAAGCGCTGCCGCTGGCCGCGGTCGTGTCGGCGTCGTCCAACGGCCACCATCGCGTGTTCTGCGTCCACGCGGGTCTGTCTCCGTCTCTACTCACGCTGGCGGACATCGAAGCGCTGGACCGCCGCCAGGAGCCGTCGACGAGCGGGCCGCTCTGCGATCTCTTGTGGAGCGACCCAATTCCAGAGGCCGACGAGTCGGATAACCCCCTGGACGGTATATCCAAAGATTGCTTGACCAGATATGGTCATCTTGACTGTATCACGGGGATATATATTGCATCTATAGATATATATATATATTAGTAACTCTCTTTATTTTAAATAAATCCTTCCAATTTACTACTTGTTACTAACATATGTTATATTTTTGATAGAAATATAGATTGAATTCGCTATATTTATATATTCATTCCACGTCCACGTCGTTTTCGAGCTAAAATACTTGTATCTTTTGTAAGTTTTATATTTTTGTGAGTGCAATGTATATGACAATTAGTCAGGTTGTGGTTTGTAATGAACGAGCATAGAAGCGACAAACATGGAGGCTCAAGCCGACGCCTCGCCGGTAGAGTCGCCTAGCAGTGTGGAGTCCAACGAGCCCAACACCGCCAAGTGGGTTCCCAACACGGTAATCCATGGTCTCTGTTTATGTGATAATGTTTTCCAATGCCAACTGCTCGTTTCCGTTGGTTGAATGCATATTCAGAGCAAATGTGGCTATATGTAGGTGCGGGGCTGCTCGTACTACTACAGCTGCTCCGCCGTCTACGATTTTCTTACGACCAACCACTTGATGTGCATGGTGCGCGCCCATGAGCTCCAAGACGAGGGCTATCTCTTCCACTTTGCATCACCGGCGTACGCGGCCTTGGATTCCCGCCCCGTCAAGGACTTTCCGCCAGTCATCACAGTGTTTTCTGCTGCCAATTACTGCGACACGTATCACAACATGGTAATTATAAATATATAATTATATCCCAATATGCTATAACTTTTTGTATTGTTTAAAAATGGCTAAAATAGGCATATTTATATATGCTGTGGTGACTGACATGACCTCCAAGTCTTGTGTGATGTTGCTATTGATCATGCGTTTGTATCAATATATTATATTTCAATTACACTTGGACGTTTTATGGATACACGTATTTATATATGTTATAAATATTTATATATACATGAAATATTCGTTGGGCAGGCGGCGTACTTGACGATTCAACGGACCGCACGTCGCTTTGATGTGGAGCAGACGACGCACGTGGTCCACCCATTTCCGAGATCGTTCCACCAATCCCAAGGCATTTGGTCGGTATTTCAAGCCACACTGCCATACATTCCGCCATCCAACGACTTTTTCGAGATCATGGCCCAGCTCAATCACGTGGTTGACGAGGATGATCCCCCCGAGGCCCCTTCCAGAAGGCAAAGTACCGATAACAATGATGCGGACAATGACGACGTGGGTCTGAGCTTGGATGAGCAAGACGCCGCGTCCACCATCTCCGCGGCCTCTGGTAACCAAGATCCTCACCCTTGTCATGTCTGATAGATTCATAGTAACATGTTGAGTTCGTTCTCTATTTTACCCAAAAAGTGGCGATTTTACGATTTTAATTGTATTCGCGAAATCGATCGATTGGTTGGTTGTTTTAGTAATTTTATATGAAAAAAAGGAATGAAAAACGAACGGTTGTCGATTGTTGTGGAAAAGGATTGGAATCACACGAATTAAAGTCACCACACTAATTCATACATGTTCAGGATGCGATACTCGTCGTTTTGCTGATTCTTCCTGTAATGTAATATGGTCCTAGTTTGCCAAATCAGTCAATCTTGATGTTTGTATGTAAAAATCACACGAATTTCATTCACTAATTCAATGTTGAAATGGTATAATTTGATTGGCCAGTTGATTCGTGTTGTGGGTTTTGATTGGTCGATCATCGATTGTCTGCCGATTTGGGTATTCTGCACATTCGATTGAGCGACACTCGAATTTCGATTCGAATATCTTAATACATTTGGTTGTGTATGGTCGATTCCTTCATTATTCTCCATGTTCAAACATAACAATCTCAAGGGTGATTTACCGCACTGTGATGCAACACATATATATATTTATATATTGTGTGATGTGTAGACGACAGTCGCCGGCACCAAAGGCGGCTGGCGCGACGAAACAGCAACGAGAAGCACCCGATGGCGATTTCAAAGGCGCTGGACGCGATCTCGTCGCAATGGACTGCTAAACACATGGCCGCCGACCACCTAACGACCACGACGACGACCAAAGCCAAAGGATGTGATGGTAGTAGTAGCAGCGAAGATGGTCAAACGCGGCAGCTTGCGGTGCGTCTATATCTGTTGATATGGTATAGATACATGTATTTATATATATATGGTCGATTAGTTTACTCCACAGGAAGTGGACATCATCAAGCTGATCTTTTCCCTCATGGACGTGGACGGCGACTTGAAACTCGGCCAGGACGAAATTGCACGCTTTATTCAGCGCATTTTAGGTACAACAACAACACACGTGGATAGAATGATGGAAAGGATATATGTACTCTTAGTACCTACCTCCAAGTGATATATATTTATGGAGTATTAGGTAGTACCTAATACAGTATGAAACAAAAGTCGTACTAGTAGTACCTAATTCATGAAGAGGATACTACAGTGTTCATGGTGTGTGTGACACAGGTGACACGATCAGCGACAAGAAGGCCAAGCGGTACTTAGCGGCGTTGGACTGCAATCACGATGGCCACGTCGACTTGGACGACCTGCTGTCCTGCGCTGCCATGCTCAAGGCTCGCCATGATGCCACGTCACGGTGCGTTGCACTAATCTCATGCGGACTTTGAGCGACATGCATGTTGCTAGGTTATTTGATGGAGGGGACGGCCGACGGGGCGGCATGCTGCCGTGGACGGTGCTCCAGACGATGTCGGTGGTGGCGATAGGAGTGGGGCTGCCGTACGCCGCCCGACTTTGGCAATGGTGGAAGACGCAAGTCAGCTCTCGGAGGAGGTGGTTGAAACGCGCGTTTGGTTCCACTGGTAGTGGCGTGGTCGTGTTCGTGGGGCTCGCGTGGATGTATATGACGTGGCAACGTACAAGGCGACGCAAGACGTGAACAAGGAGCGAGTCATTACTGTATTAGGTGGTTATGGAGTCTTGTTGGAAATGCACAAGAGACCTCTCGAGTTTACTTACGCCTTGACGATCCCCTTGAACAGCTCTTCCAGTTCGCCCGACTTGTGCATGTCCGTGACGATATCGCATCCCCCGATGAATTCGCCCTTGACAAACAGTTGCGGGATCGTTGGCCATTGCCTACGTAAAAAATAATGGGCGCACGGGACCATCAGATGAATGGACTGCAAGGGCGTGGTGTCGTCACGTACGAGAACTCCTTGACCCCGTCGCGGATTTCTTCGTGGTCAAGGACGTTGACGCTGTCAAAGCTCACGCCTTGCGCGTGCAAGATTTGCACGACTTGGCGCGAGAAACCGCATTGAGGGGACGACGGCGTGCCCTTCATGTACAGCATCACAGGGTACGTGTTGACGTGGCTCTCAATCAACTTGAGCACGTCGTCCTTGTCGCTCGAAGGCGCCGCATGGTACTTGGGCTTAAAGTCGTCGTGGGATGCAGTGGAGAGGAAGCGACCAGAGGCGGCGGCAGTGCGCAGCGGCGCGGCAGAGCGGGCGAGCAATCGGGTCAACATGGCAATTGCAGCGAACGAAATCGAATGGGCTGATGATGTCGATGGAAGTAGCGGACGGGGGACAAATTATTCAAATTCGTATATGATTGAGAGACGTCATTAGTGAATTAAAATGATGAGTTCAACAAAATTAATTTACATCGCTTTAAAAGTAGCGCGTAACTACGTAGTATTATACTCTTGGTTTACCAGTACCATTTTAAATAATTGAACGAGGTCAAATTCTATATGGTTGGTCGTCCAGGAATTGCTCCTCCTGTCGGCACCACTTCAGCGGTGAAGGAGCGAGAGATGGATGGGCGGAGGAAACCACAGCGGCGCAAACATAAGCCCGTGGCACTTGGCCCTCGGTTCAACAAAGATGCTGCGAAGGAGCGAAGCAAGGACATCGTGAACGACGTGTCTGTGTTTGATGACACAGTATTGACACCGTACTTGCGCCTCGGGACTTGTCGGTACTTCGTCATCAAGTCCTTCAGCGAAGCCAACGTTCACAAGAGGTGCGACTTCGCCCTTCTTTTCTAAGATATCCCCATGACTGGCCTCATCGTCGACGACGTAGTGTCAAGTACGGGGTGTGGACCAGCACTGACACAATCAACATGACGCTGGACATGGCATTCAAGAGCGACCTGGCATGCATTCGGCCGATCTTGCTCTTCTTCAGGTAGGACTATCCCCTTGGTGGCCGATCGCGACTGACCTTCCAAGTATGTAGTGTGTGTGGGTCCAAGCACTTCTGCGGTATTGCTAGGATGACGTCGGCGGTGAACTTTGATTTGAACTTTGGTTTGTGGGAAAAGCAAAAGTACGAAGGATACTTTCGCGTGGAATGGCTCGTGCTCAAGGACGTGCCCAACCACGTGCTGATGAAGGTCCAGTTGAACCAGAAGAGCTTCCCGCGGGCCTGCGACGGTGACGAAGTCGCGTACAACGAGGTATGGTGTAAGATGATCATCGCCTTTGCTCAGCGGACGTAGGCGACCGAGTTCATGCACTGCTACATGTCGTATCCAAGCACCACGACTCTCTTGGACGACATGGCCTACTACAACGATCAGCAGGTCGCCCTCGAAGGCAAGCGCAACCTCTCAATACATGCACATGATGGCGATGCCGACGATCTCGACTCGTTCTTAATCCCTGCCGTAATACCCTCGTCGTGATTCTCATTTTATTGTACTGTACTTGTTATTATTACGTCCAAGTATTTTCGTCACAGAATTCGGGGCAAGTATACAAAAATCAAGTACAAATCACGAAGGTGAAATATTCGGGATGGAAATAAGTATTTTCGTCACAGAATATGGGGCAAGTATACAAAAGTCAAGTACAAATCACGAAGGTGAAATATTCGGGATGGAAATAAGTATTTTCGTCACAGAATATGGGGCAAGTATACAAAAGTCAAGTACAAATCACGAAGGTGAAATATTCGCGATGGAAATATTTGGCGTGATTCGAAGGTTTTACAAAAAGATTGCCTTTTTTTACATTATATGCCAAACGACAAGTGTCCCAGTGTTGCACATGATTTGTTCCGGTGTGACCAATCATAAATCGATTACATCCTTGTTTTAACCAATCATATATCGATTGAAGCGGATGTGGCTCACGCATTGAAATGTAATCGTTCAAGTACATCTTGAACGTTGTAACGATCTTAAAATATTCTAAAATATTACCGCTGTGCTAAAATTATA